GAGAGAGAGAGAGAGAGAGAGAGCTGCTTGCACTGCTCCTTGCTGGGCTCCTCACGCTGCCTTCGCTGCACCCACTGCCAGCCCTCCTGCGCCTGCTCCGCATCTGCTCCTTGCCTGCTATGGCCGCCTCATTGCCCTGCTTCTTCCTCCCTCTGACAATGGCGGTAGTGGCGGGCATGCAAGCTCGAATGTTGTTGTGGGAGGGCGGGCGGCCGAACTCGCAAGGCGGGAGGATGAACTCAAAGACTGTGCCAACTACGAGGACCGCCACGATGCAAAAGCGGCATTCAAACTGGCAGAAACATAGAAGGAAGAAAACTTCCCACAGGCAAAAAAAAAAATTCTGGCCCTACCGGATGCCCCTTCATGGCTAAAAAAAAATCTGCTCATATTTTTGGCTGGCGGCCCTGGGCGAGATGAAATGCCCTGGACAGCCAAAAAAAAATTTGGCCGTTGGCCAAAGGGTCTGGAATCCGGAACGGGATCCGGACATGTTCACCGGACACCGGACACCGGACACCGGACACCGGACGGTCCAGATCCCTTTCTGGAGGTCCGGATCGCTGCCATGGTTCGAACACAGGTCTGTATTTCATCTGTAAGAAAAGTCGTACACGTTCGAGACAGGACAGTTGGCATTTCAAGAGTTCAGTAGTGTACCAAATTACCACCAACTGAGCTAGGCCAGTTTGGTAGGACACTGCAGCTTTTTTTTTTTTTTTTTTTTTTTTTTTTTTTTTTTTTTTTTTTTTTTTGGACCATTTCTCGATTTATGCGCGTCATCCTTGTGCGGGGGTCATGCTATTTCAGTGCTAGCTCTGTGTCATCTCTTTCTCCCTCTGTCTTTCTCCTTTATGATTATCTTCCCCTTCTTCTCTCTCCTTTTCTCCTCCCCCCTCTTCCTCTTCTTCTTTTTCTCCCCACCATCTTGAGTACGATGTTTTTTATCCCACTGCTGTGAGGCTGCCATCTCATTGATTGGAAAATCTGCTTCGACGATCCTCCGATCGACTTCCTATACATAGGCTGGAATGTATTTATAGCTAAGGATGATAGATGGAAACTTCACTCAACACTGACCATCATCCCCCTGCTCCGTGCTACCTGCCTCACGCGCCCCAGCCAAGATATATATAAAAAAGAAATCATCACTCACAATCGGCCTCCCAGCTGGAATCAGATTAAAAAAAAGAATTAAAAAATTAAAAATTTAATAAAAAGTTATTAAAAACCTTTCTACAAAAACTTTATAGAAAACTATAAAAAAGGTTGAAAAAACTGTACCAAGAACCAACGGCCCTAGCTCAGTCGGTACACACCCATGACCTGCTGTTGAAACACAGACCTGAGTTCGAATCCAGATGCAATCAGACGAACAGAAGAAAAAGAAACTCCACCCCGCCGCACTCCGAACAGACAAGCTAAAGGAGACCACACTGAAACTTCACAAACTGAGTTTTTTTGGAAAACTGTTAAACTGAGAATAGAAAACTCTAGAAGGAAAACTTCAAAAAAAAAGGGGGGGGGGAAAGTGTGAAAACAAAAAAACTCACCTGCAGGATGCAGCTCAGAAAACTTGTAGGCCTCATGATACCTGTCTTCACAACATCCACCATATCTGTAATAGCATTTGCGTCAATTTTGCGCGAATGCGATGAGTTGGAAGTTGGAACTGGGTGGGCTATTGCCACATCTTTATCACCCCTCCCTTCTT